ATTATATATATGTATTATATATAATATATTTATATATTATATTAAATATACATTATACATAATGCATAATATAATATAATATATATTAATATTATATAATATTATATTATAAAATATAATATTATACATGATATTATGTTATAGTAATATTATATTATAGGGAAAATTACGTATATATCCATTATAGTTTCCATTATTACCAAAATACCAAATAGTTCTCGTTATTACTGGAATATCCGTTTTTTTCACTTCATCAAGAAAATTTTTAAAAAATATTTTTTATCCTATTTCGGGTTTTAAACAACCGAATTCGCTGGATTTTCAGTTTTTCAAAAATCAAAAACTTAAAATTTTCGGTTTTTGAACGGCTGCAAATTTTTAATTTTTGGCTTTTCAAAAACCAAAAATTTAAATATTTTGGTTTTTGAAAAACCGATAATTTTCTCGCGAAAAAAAAAAACATACGAGCATAAAGGAGAGTGTTTCTTGATATTTTAGAGTTATAAAAATTGTGTCGCCCAATATAATATCCTACGAACTTTTCTGTCATCCAATACAATATCCCATAAAGTTGAAGAGATTGGTTCTCTGTCTATTCTTGATTGATACCTTTCTTACTCTTGCCTAATACTATTGATTAATTTTGTCACAATTAATAAATATTTATTGGTAAAAATTGTTGAAGTTGTTTATTTGTATAATTATTTGTTGTTTTGGGTAATTTATTGAACAATCGATTTATTTAGTAGAACATTATGTTGATATATATAGTAGTACACTATATTGTATTTGTTGTTTTAGATAAATATTGTTCAACTTGTTTGTTTGTATTAATATTTGTTGTTTATTTTGTGTTTGTATTAATAATTGTTGTTTTTTATTGTTTATTGAGTAATTGACTTTTTTTAATAGTACACTATTTTGATCTATTATGTAAAACTCACATTTTATGAGCCCTAAATTAGTTAGATATATTCAAATTTTTTGTATTCATTGTTGTATTAATCTTTTGTAACACGAATTTTGGTATTCATTTAATACAGTAGCATTGACGATGGTTACCGACGGAGTGCAACTAGTATTTCAATATGAGTGGTCATTTGAGATGAATCCAGATGACGGACGTGTTGTTTATAAAGCGGGAAAATTGAAAGTTACGAAGTATAATGAAAATAGTTCCTTGAAGGAACTAAAAAGTCATTTTGAAAATTTAAAATCGTGTGATCCAAATAAATTGACTATTATGTACTACAACACAAGTCTATCTAGTGGCTTTAAATTGATTGATGTAAGTGATGATATAGATATATCTTTTATATTGGGAGGGGAGTCTTCGAGTATTGTTATATACATTACCTCTGCAATAAAGCCGGAATGGAGATCTATAGAATTTCGAAAGGAAAATATTGCTGGTGATAACACATCTGCAAGGAATAAGTACAAGTACAATTTATTTTTTCATCTCTAATTTGCTTTATTTAAATCTTTTATGTGCAGAAACTGTTGCTTCATCTTACACTCTATCTTTTGTTAACAGTTGGCGTAACACTTCTTTACCTGATCAACATTAGAACATTCAATTGGTGCTCGAGCCTAAGCTTGTACCAGAGCGCGATATAGATGATATTGAACCATTTGAGAGTCCATGTAGAGGACTTGGTAACGAGGTTTAATTGAAAATTGGGTAACTTTTTAAAAATGTCAATGAATACTGACATCTTCGGGTTGATTTTGCTGTCCACAATAATTTTATTTTGAAATTTGACAAAAGCGAAGGGGCAAGTTATAAGTCAGAGGGATGTACATGGCAAGTTCGATGCTTACGAGAGTGAAGCCCATAGTTAAGGAGCACACATGTAGTGGTCCAATGGGGAGGGTACATCAGCCACTAGCTTGTAATGATTTAGTGGCAAAAAAAATTTAATCCCGCATTACTGACCTACCAAAAATTAAAGCCAAAGATATTATAAAGGATGTCCAACATGCGGTGTCAGGTTTTCCTACATGCAAGCTTGACGGGAAAAAGATGTTGCTAGAGAGATGATAGATGGATCACATGAACAACAATACCATGACCTTCCCATAGAGAAGCTTTGAAGAACCAACCCTAGAACCGAAGTTCGCATCCACACAAATGAAGGCAGGTTCAAACGACTGCTTATTGCTTTACGTCCATGCATCATGGGTTTTGTTAATGGGTGCATGCCACTAATGGGTATTGATGAGACATTCCTAAACTGAAAAAATTAAGGCATGTTATTGTGTGCCATTGCCGTAGATGCAAATAATGGGCTCTTCCCAACGGCATTTGCAGTGGTCGAGAAGGAGAACTAACATAGTTGGTATTGGTTTTTAAGTATACTAAGTGAGCTATTAAATGAGTTTCCTAATTTGTCTGCCTTAACAATTGTATCAGATTGACAAAAAAACCTGTCAAAAGCAATAGAAAAATGTTATCCCACATGTTTTCCAGCATTATGCATGCGGCATATGGGAGATAACTTCAAGGGCTTTATGAAGAAGTCAACAAATATCGAAGTATTGTTGATGCTATTTTGGAAGGCTGCCCCGTAAAACAACCATTGGTGAGTTTGAAAAAATAATGTTTGATATACAGCGTACCGACCCAAAAGCATATGAGTGGATTACAAATATCCTTCCCAAATCTTGGGCAGATGCCTATTTTCCAGAGGCAAGATACAATCATCTTACTTCTAACATAGCCGAGTCATTCAATGCTTGGATTTTATCTGCTCGAGAGAAGCCGATCATTACAATGTATGAAGAATTAAGGGTACAGCTGATGACAAAGTTTGAAGAGAAGATGAAGTTAGGTAATAGTTGGAGCACTATGCTAGTACCAAAAGCCCAAGAATTACTTGACTTACGAAAGATGAAGACAAGATTTTTACACACAGTTATATCTGCCATGGATACACAGTTTGAGATCCACTATCTTGGGAAGAAGTATGCTGTCGATTTAACTCGTTGGACGTGCAGTTGTAGAAAATGATAACTCTGTGGCATACTGTGAGTCATGTCATTGCGGCTATTAACCATATGCACTTGGATCCCATTTGCGTACTGCCTTCAGTATTTCACAGAGGAATAGTTTAAAAGGGCCTTTCAAACTCACCTTGGGTCTGTATGTTTAATCGGACAGTGTTACTAACGACGACATGCCTTCTAGGTAGGTCGAAAAAACAAC